ATAAAGTGGGGCAGGGAGAGAAACAGGATAAATGACTTGTCTAAGGTGACAAGGGGAGAAAGAGGTGGAGCTTGAAATAGAATCCAGGAGTTCTGACTCCCAAGACTGGGCTTGAATGACTGAAGAGTATATCACCATTTTTTTTTTAAGATTTTGGAATAATCGGGAAGACACACAAACGAAAAATGAACATTTCAGAGTAGCCCTGTTAGCACAGCCGCAAAATCTATGGGGCAGTTGCTTAGACATAGGTTAGTGCCTCAAAAAATGTAGAACACAGCAGCACTGAAATGAAGAAGGGACAAGAACATTAAAAGCAGCCCTCATTACCAGCGGCTGCCTGTACCTTCAATTAGTTATAGTCTCAGGACAGTCTAAAAGCATATATTAGTTTTACATAGATAATTCAAACTAGTCTACTGAGTTTTCAATAGTTAGTGTCTCTAAAAACAAAGAGGAAAACTTCATCACAAACCCGAGATGAGGTTATTTCTGTCTATGGTTTCTGCCAATGGGATTGGATGGACTCACAGATGGTTTAAGATGCGAGATACAGCCAGTCACACTTCACGCACAATTCACAAGGCATCAAGACAATGAACTCGTCCAACTGCAGACTTGAAATGCTGAAGAGGAACAACAAACTTCCTGGAAATGTATATGGAAAACCACCTTTTTTGAGCTCAAAGGAATGGCATTAAGGTAGAATGTTCAACTAGAGTTTCTTGATCTTGGGAGAGACAGCTGTGATCTGCTTGCACCATTCAGTCCTTGAAACCAAGGACAACAGACACTGTCATTACCTTCCAAGCCAGACAGTGCATGACCCCCCCCCCCCCAGAAGTAACACTGTTATTCCCAGAAAAGTCACATTATTTGGATTTTAGGGAGATTGTGCCCACACAGGAAGAAGAGCAAATCAGAACACAAGAAAGAATATGCGAGACTTTTCAAAATGTGTTTGTTTCATAAAGTCCGGAAAAGATTCATTTTCCATGGACCTGTTTGTGATATTTGTACCAGATTTTTATATCCATACCAGGTTCTGCAATCATCACTGAAATCTTTGGTTTGCTAACGTGATTTTGAGGTAAGAAAACTTCGCTCTTAGTCAATGTAAATCCAAGAAGCATTTCAAAATTATTTGGATGAAAAATATCAATAACGTTTTGACTAAAATATCAACAAAAGTTGCAGAAGATATTGTGAGAAAGGAAATTTGACAATTTTTCAACAAAATAGAAGTTGAATGTAAAACACTTTTGACCAACTTTACCAGGGAGCATTGTTCTCCAAGTCCCTACATCAATTCTCACTTGATTGACGTCTACATGGCACTAGACAGCCCTCTCTATTCCTTTGCAACAGATCCTCAAACGTGTATCAAGACACAAATAGTGTTTCCTCTATAGAATTTCACCACCCAAACCCACACATCCTTGTGCACCAACCCAGATTTGTAGTGGTGATAGCGATATAAAGCATTATAAGCACTACTGGATGAACTGATCTCAAATCACCCACAGGTACCAGCTATTAACAAACAGCATTGACCAAAAAACCTTTTGTGCTGCTTAAGTGTCTACACTGAAATGGACCATCACAGAATTTTATGCTCTAAACTGGAGTAAAGCAAAGAAACACAATCCTCCCCCCGACCTCCCGCCCCAGATCTTGATTATGGGTTTCTCCAGAGGTCTTTGCATTGTCCTCTTTTCCCACTACACATCAGGTTGGAGGAGGGGGGGCGATTATGTTGCAGAACCAGCCATTATGTAGCCTCCGCTAGACTTTGCTACATTCAGATAGGTTGGAAGCTTTCGGCCCAAAATACGTGCTACTAGACTGGATTTATTCTGTGACATTCTCCACATGCAATGTCTATATCAAGAGCTCTCTGATTCTTGTAGGGTGTGTAATTCACCCCGGATAACAAGCTAACTCAAGACCGATGTCACACTTAAGTCCTGCTTCTGCCCTGAGGGTCTGATGTAGGCGTGTAGAGCTGACCCCAGCACTACACACAGTTGGCTTCCCCCATGTCGCTATGACTAAGTCATCCCCCAAGTATTTTGCAGCTGTGATAAAAATCTACCAATCATTAACAAAAATCATAATAAAAAGGTGCATTGTCTAAAGCTGTGCTTTTGTCTTCTGCTTTAGGAGGCAACATTCAGGCAACAATTCAAATAAAACAATACATGACAATAAAGCAATTACATTTACAAATATGATCATTCGCTTTGATGACATCACCGGGGATTTGGCTGTAACCGCGGCAACCAAATCTGATGTAGTAAATTCAAGCATCTGTTTATGGCCCATTGAGGAATGTACTTAAGCATATGCTGAATATTAAATACATGCTTAAGCACTTTTTCCAAGCCAAGGTTTAAGCAAAGTCTTGCTCCTGTACCCTAAACTCCCAGTGGAGTGACCCGAAACATGGGCTCAAGCCCCGAGTTCACACAAATGCTAGAAAACCACCAGCAAAAACTCTGTGGATTGAAATAGAAAAGTCTAGGTTATCTTCACACTCCTGGTCAAAGAAAAATGTGGGCACGTTAATGAGTCAGCAAACAAAGTGAATATTTATCATGAGTTTAGAAGTGCACCTTAAAAGAACAAGGACTTTTGGGTAAAATAGCTTCTTCTTTGGAACAGATAAATGGCAATATGTAATAAATACGTGATAAAGATTGTGGCTAAGCAATATTTTGTGAGTGCGTTCTGGCAATGCCATGATTAAAAATCCATCGGCACTTCCATTTTGAACCCTGGAGTGTCAGGGCTGAAACTCTGGAGGCAGATGGGTGAGTGTGCATGTGTGTACATCTTCCAAAATATGCTGATAGCTGCTTAAGCACCACATACAAATGCATTTAAGAAAACAATATTCAAGGCACTTATTCACTCACCCAAATGGGCAACTGTCTTTGGCTATTTTTGGGACAAACAATGAAAACACTAATAGTGTTGCCCAGATGTTTCAAGCTTGAAAGTTAGCTACTGTACAAATGGTGATAACAGCACTCACCCCTTCCCCTTCCACCGGAGGAGTTCAAAATGCGTGAGGAACACTAATCTAAGAGGTCCTCCTCCAACCAAATCCATAGAACACCCAAAAAGTGGAGAAGTTCATATCTAGACTTCTTGGCTAGCTCTTGGATCGGGAATGGGCTGTTCCAAACCCACAAACCCACTCTTTGGAAAGTGTGGCTCTGGCTTTGAATCAATCAATCTGAAATTAATTTAAGCACTTCACTTCCCTGGGAAGTTAGTATGAATTGTCAGAAAGATAGACAGACTGAGGTTAAGTGACTTTCTCAAAATTGCACAATAAGCCTGTGGCCAGGGTGCTGAAAGGATCCAGGAATCCAGACTTTTGGACCCTCTCTAATCACTAAAGCACAGTTCCTTGTCCTGCGTACAGTAGCTAATACTTTTTGCTTTCTAATATGCTCAGTGCTACAGACAGACTGACTTAAATCTAGAAGGACACGGAAGTTCAGAGCTACCTTTTCTATCAGGGACTTGCTCTGTGGCAGACATCCCATTCCCAGTGTGGTTTGGTGAGAAGATGCTAAGAAACCCCGTTGTAAGGCCGGATGGAATGTGTGATCAAGTGAAATTAGCCACCGACACTTTGAACTTCCATGCTTTGGCAGATTCAGTTCAGACATGTGTTTAACCATCTTTTGCCCCTAATGCTCAAAATGATCTCAGGGCCATGGCTAACGACCAGGAGAGCAAAAGGAATTTATTAGCAGTCATGTCGTCGTTTTAAAAAAGTGACCTAGCACTTCACTTTTTGAATGAAACAAATTAAAACCTAACTAACTGATCTACGGGGGGAAAATGCTGAGAAGGCTGGGGTCAAATCCAACATGATGGTGAACAGCTGCTACATAGTTAATGTCCTACCAGCCATGTCCAAAGAGATTTACTGAAGAACAATATACTCTTTAGGGCCTTGATCAGCCATTTCATAGATTTCTAGGAATATGTTCTCCTTTTCATGCGGTGCAACTCAAGATTAACTTCACTGAAGCCGAGAGAGCTAGCTCCGTGAAAAGTTGGTGAAAATATCAAGAGGACAGACCCCAAATAGTCTCTCAAATTATCTTCAGGATAGTTTTAAAAACAACTACAGAAATGTTATCATTCATTGTTACATTCTGCAGGACTTTGCCATAAAAGTCAACCACAATGTTGGAACTGGAAGGGGACATACCATTTTCTGGAGTTACCGTGAGAGGCAATTTTTCACCTTCTTTAATTCTTCGCTTGGCTCTAACCCATCTCGTCTCATTTAACTCAGTTTCCTTTTCAGCTTTGGGTGGTGTCATTTTATTCAGCTCTTGTTACAAAGGCTGAAAGGGGAAGCACATTGTACTATTTATCACCGTGAGAGAGAGCCATGTTCCCCAAAGCTACTCTGGAAAGCTGCAAATTTGTTATTAATATGGTCACTCGGACCTCAAAATGCTTTGATTCTCGCTCCTAATTTGTTAAGTGCAGCTAAAGGTGTTTTCTTTGATTACCACTGCAAAATAAGATATTAATGTCAATGCAGTGATATGAAAATTGCTCCTTTCCCATGTAATTTGCACCTTAGTTATTATGGGTTTCATGTATAAGAACATTATAGCTCTACAAAATGAGCTGTGGATTTATAATTTAATTTTTAATTAACACTCCCCTTCCCTCTCCATCTCCCCCCTCCCCCAAAACCCAACACCAAACCCACAAACTGCTGGTGCATATATTTTTAGTAACCTTGGCTCAGATTTTTAAGCCTCTGAAGAGTGCATCACTTGTGTCTCTTTTTGTCTGGAATTGTGACCTCCCCCACCCACTCCTTTGCAATGACATTTCTCTACAAAGAAGAAACTGTGGTGAAACTATAGGAGAAAAATGTCTTTTTTGCTCTCTTTGGCGGGTAATTTATGCCTACGTACAACTTGAGATGGAAAATGAATCA